CACTTATAAAATTTGAAGCAGTACTAAACGCTCAGTCATCTCTGCATTCCAGTGATCTATTTGATATACTTCAATAGTTATACCAACGATACACAATTTTCGACACGTTCATTTCCACCAATATATTTCAACTGGGGACATAGTAGGCGTTGTTTCCTAGTGAAACTGAGCGATAAATAAATTAAGAATAACAACAGGTCGGACAGCTTATTGTGGCTTGCAAAGGGATCTTGGAGATGAAATCAATGCATTGAATATCACTTCTATCGCAATCGTAATAGTGGAATTCACGTGTTTTCGATCTTATATAAAAGGAATTAAACAAACACAGTCCATCAATGAGAAGATTTCACGACGAAAGCATGCAAACCATCGCCATTACTTCTGACCCGTATCATAGGATTTGACTTATTTTTTTAAATATAAAGATGGTCAAACAACAAATATGAATTTAGTATTTCATTTCAGAAATGAATAATTGTGAATATGCTTGTATTATTGTGGACTATGATTCTTATTTTAGATGATATGGATGTTATTATAGACACAAAGATTCGACCTAGTACCCTCTGGTCATCATATATATATATATATATATATATATATATATATATATATATATATATATATATATATATATATATCAACGTATTGTATCAACTTAATTTTATACTGATCCTTTCCAGCAGTCTAATCAGTTTGTTAAGATGAAATTCATCAAGCAAGTTGCCGTAGGTTTTTTTTAACCCAAGTACTTAGAACTTTTTTAAGATCATCTTTATGGATGAATTACAAAGACAAACTTATTGTAACTGCGAAAAAATCTGTATTCCGTTGATATTGGATCTGTTTTGTTATTTTAAAACTTTTAATTTTTCCGTTGTAGTTATGGAATATTTTGCAAAATAAGAGTTTCAATATAAAGGAGCTGGCCGGAAATTGTAAAATAGTAGAAATATAAGATGGTATTAAATTTTATATGCTTTTTATTATGTTGTTGTTATATTCGTGTTAATTTTTGTTGAGTGTTGGTTGGTTGATTTTGATATAGAGGGCCTCTATCGCAGTTACAATAAATTTGTCTTTATAAATTATCCCTGGAGATGATCTTGGAAAGAATCTTAGGTTAAAAACGTAACTTGTTTAAAAAAAAAAAAGAAAAAAAAAACTCCGTCGCCTTCCCTGGTGAATTTCCTCTTAACATCAAGAAAATGGCTAGAAAACTGAAAAAAAATCAGTATAAAAATAATTAGACAAAATATGGCTATATTATTCAAATAAATATGTATCTGTTGGTGTGCGCGTATATACGTGTTTGTTTGTGTGTATGCTGAAATATATATTGTTTGTTATCATTTGTGATATGTGGGGGGAGGGGTGTGTGTTTGTATGTGTGTGCTTGGCAACCACACGTTTTCTCGCACATCGCTTTGCCAGCGCAGCTAGCAAATCCGAATTACGCCTACTCAACCAACAGTATCCAGCTGTGATTTATTCTGTTTCCTCTTGGAGCGGGCGCGTTAACGTACGCGATTAATTTTTTTCAACAAGGCAAACACGCTCAAAACTTTGATCACGACGACTTGTGGCTTTTAGCTGACACGACGTCTTCCCAACGTCTTCCGCCTACCGAATTTCACACATGAGGGTTGGCTTAAAACGAGATAACTCATTCTATCACTTTCCACAGGTGCCGCGTGAATCAAGCTCTTGGCCACGCCAATATTATCAAGTGGCATGCCTCCTTGATGAAGCCAAAGGTCGCAAAGGAACCTGGGATAGGAAATATCAATGCTCTGAACTTCCCTCTTATCACAACCGTATTGACGGATTTCGCTGGTTTTTCATTTTATATGAAAGCAACTAAAGAAACATAATCAATATTGAAAAATCGACAATGGTGATATTTGAACCCGGATCTCATGATCTTCTAACCACCCAGCTAGTTGCCCTTAAAGTTATAGATATGTAATTACATATGAATCTGTATAAATGCATACGTACATATATATATATATATATATATATATATATATATATATATATATATATATATATATATATATATATATATATATATATATATAAAAACATATATAAATATGATATATGTGATGTGTGCGAATAAATCCAATATTGAAGGGGTTATTTATGAAAGTGAGAGCAAAGGAGAAAGATGATTGTAATTTGTAGAAACGAAATGGGATTTTCTCGGGGGAAATGTGTGGAAATGACGAACGAACATAAGAAATAAAAACACATATATAGACGCGAAGGCAGATAACGATAAATAACTGTTTCACTTAAGCAAAAAGCAACAATTATAGACGATACGATCTTCCGTCATTTCAGCCATTATAATTGTCATCATCAATAATACTCCCATATATATATATATATATATATATATATATATATATATATATATATATATATATATATATATATATATACACACTACAGCACTCAATGCAAAGAAAACTCTCTAAATCTAGAAACTATAATTACACAAAATAAACAGCCCACATTAAATAAGATATTATTCGCCGCAGGAGATGGTATCTTAAAATACGCATTATATAATAAATATACATATATAGTTAATCAGTATTGAAAAGAATTGAAAAAATAATAAATAAATAAGTCGCATTCTTTTGGGAGGCTTTGCCCATAATAGGCATTGCACATGACGCCATGCTAGACCATTTCAAAAGTCCATGTTCCTAAAACATAACAGAATACAGAAAAAGAAATTCTAACTGCCACACGTACACCCCTTCTGTTCATGATAATGACTGGGATAGTCGAAAGTATTTGAACAAGAATTACAAAATATGTACTTCAGACAAATTACCACTACTATAGTCAAACCCGTATACAAAAATTTTGGAAAATACAATAAAATATTAAACAGACAGACCTTCTCTCTTCTTTTTAATCAAACTTGTTTGGATGAATACTTGCTGCCTAAATATAGCTTATATATATATATATATTAAAGACATTTTTATGTTTAACGTTCTTTTTTTTATAGATTTAAATTTGTTTGTTTATAATAAACAGTATTAAATAACATTTACCGGCCTGAATGCCCGAGAAATTTTCATAGAAAATATTCGTTTTTTGACAGGATTCGAACCTGCATCCTATACGAAAACGTCACTTACGCTGACGTGCCTTAACCGTCTCGGCCACAAAGGAGGGTCCGGTAGGCAAGGTCGAATTTACTGCTATTTACTCTATGAAAATTTCTCGCACATTCAGGCCGGTAAATGTTATTTAATACTGTTTATTATAAACAGAGCATTTACTTAAATACTTGTATCTAGAAAAAAGAACGTTAAACATAAAATGTCTTTAATAAATAAATTGGTCGGACTTTGTCCATTTCTTAATATATATATATATATATATATATATATATATATATATATATATATATATATATATATATATATATATATATATATATGTGTGTGTGTGTGTGTACTGTACTGTGATTGTTTATGTTTTATGTATCTGTATATATATATATATATATATATATATATATATATATATATGCATGATGCGTATAAGCCGTTTTGTTTGTGCATGTGACAGACAGAACTAAAGATAAATTATATTTGAGTATATTTTTGAAATTAAATATCATATATGTATGTATGTATGTATCTGTGTGCGTATATGTTGATATACTTCCAAAGAAAAGCTTTTTACATTTATTTTCAAGCTAAAAGATTAAACTTAATATTTCCAATAAGCAAAATATTTGCTATATTTCAAAACGAATTCAAATTGATTGGAATGATTTTTTTTAATCGCTAAAATGGCTGATGTTTGCCATATTTGAAATTCGCTCAGCACAATGCAGTTCACTTTATTAAAATTATTACAAAAATAAAATATACTTTTCTAAAACCGTAATGAGGAACATTATTTGCTGTCAAGTTTAATTAATCTGATTTGAAACAAATATTTCTACTTATGCTTCAAAATATCTTTGTAAAAGACATATGTTTGAATTTTTGTTTCTACGGAGAGATATCTTTTTTTTAATTACGGAGTAATCTTAAACTTTTTGAAAATATTTTAAGTAATCTAATGTTTTATTGAGTTTTTAGTACTTTGGCTTTAAGTTTACCAATCTTATTTTCTGACAATCTCTTATGGATGTCCGTATTTGCAATAATCGGTACGTTTACATTCATACAAAATAACTTAAAATTATTTTTAAATACTGCGAGTCATTGAATTATTGCAAGCATTTTTCATGTATGATTAATAAATGTAGTTTTTACGTACCAGTCACCTAACTATTATGATAACATTTAAAATATAATTTCTCATTGTTGTGTATTAATAGTATGTCGAGAAAAAATAGAGAATTTTTTATTTTTAATTCGTGTGTGAATTTAATGGTAGGTTCAACCATACTTAGTTTCATTATTATATCTAATAGGGTTGTATCTTGGGAATATATTAAAAGGTCATCATCTATATATATTCGGTGAGTAGAGCTGTTTGACATGTCTTAAAATGGACCAGATTCTAATAATTCTAGAAAAAGGCAAGCGAGAATGTCACTGAGAGGTGACCCCATAAGTAAACCGAAAATTTTCTTGTAGAGAATATTGTTGAAAGAGAAGAAGCAGTAATTAGTGATTAGTTTAAATATTTTTATAATTCTGTGGATGGATAGCGGAACGTTTCTTTGGATATTGTAAGTTGGTTTCTCAATATTTTGAGGCATTTCGTGATGGTCATGTTGATATATAATAATTTGATGTCTAGGCACATTATAAGCATGTTTTCCATATTTACGTTTCTTATTTTTTGGATTAAGTCAACAGAGTGTTTGGTATGTGTTGAGATAATTGTTCCTAGAAACGGAGGTAAGACTCTTGCATCCCATAAATCATACAATTTTTATCATAACGAAATAACTTATTGAAATTTACTTTAAAGAAAACTCGAATTCAGCAATTCAGTGAAAACGTATGATTAACAAAAAGAACGAATACAGAAGTGTTGCACGTCCGTCTGACGGCTAAGTAGAGTAGTCAACTCGTCTCCTGTCTACAGTCCTCTTGCAAGGCATAATATAGTCATAAGACGAGTCTATTTTGTGCAAGAAGGTAGGTCCCTGTAATAGGTTTGTTATCAAAATAAATATTGCTCGGAAAGTAATGATTCTTACGTCATCCGACAGATATTACATAGGAGGGGGCATAAAATAACAGACACGAACAGAGCCAGTTTTCTACGGCAAAGGTTAATTATTCCCGAAGCCAACACAAATAGGTATGTAGATTCGACGCGTACATGTTTATTTCGGGTTTTTAAGAACATGGATTTTAACGCGCCTTCATGTCAGATGACATTTTGCTAGACTACCTTTCAGATTCTATCTGTCACGTAGGATTACTTTCTGAGCAACATAGACACGCGAGCGCACACACATACACACACACACCCAGAGACCCTCCCCATATATATATATATATATATATATATATTGTCATCTACAGACAGACTGTTTCGCTGAATGTGTGTATGTGTGTGTGTATGCGTGTGTTGTAGAGTGCGAGCACCTTCTTCAGCACTCTACCAGATGGCCTGGTCTCATAGACTTATATAATCTACGATTAAGGACTTCAACTGTTGATTAATAAGTTGATACTAAGCTAACTAATATTCGCACTGACCTTACTTCGTTTGGCTATACAGCATTTGACCCTCTTTTATTGCTTGTAAGTTGTCTTGTTTTGTAATCTATTGTGCTGTGTTTTTGTATGTATCCGTTAGCACTGGGTACTGGTGCTGAATAAATATATTAAGCACACTCCGTGTATCATTCACCTCGACGTTTAAGTCTCCGTTCTTCTCTCTCTCTCTCTCTCTCTCTCTCTCTCTCTCTCTCTCTCTCTCTCTCTCTCTCTGTGTGTGTGTGTGTGTGTGTGTGTGTGTGTGTGTGTGTGTGAAACAGGCTGTCTGTGGATGACGATATATACGTACCCGAAAAAACTTAAATTCGGTTGTGCGTTCTTGGAAAATAAGTGCGAATTTTAAACAATGATTATTACTACTAATATTACAAGGCTTTTCCCCTTCCCTGAATTGAGCTCTCTCAGTCGTTGGCGTCTTTATTCAAAGAATAAGTAAGTAAAAATTTGCCTTTCTTTTTGATGGCTTAGGGGGAAATCTCCGACTGTTTCCGAATCACTGGGTTTCGATCCCGGCTTGAAGCAATCGGATGTCTAGCCACACTGATGAGCTGTGTTCAGCGAAACAGTTTGTCTGTGGATGACTATATATATATATATATATATATATATATATATATATATATATATATATGTGTGTGTGTGTGTGTGTGTGTGTGTGTGTGTGTGTGTGTGTGTGTTTAGGCAGAATATTTTCAATCAAACATGTTTTGTTAAGTAATTTAAATGTATTATATCTATTTCAGTTTTAATTCTTTTTCAAGTACAGAAATTAATTTCTTGATGGCTGTGGAAAATTGATCAAGAAAAATAGCAAAACTTCCTTTCAAATAATTTTTATTTTCCCAATTACTTGTAATCTCACCTTCAGGGACATAAGATATCTCTGGATGTATACAGTAGCTCCGTAAATTCAAAATAATCTTTTCAATGTTCGTTTTACAATACAGCGTTTCAAATTCAAATTTTATTTTGCATCGTTCTTGATGTAGAAAATTGATCAAGAAAAATGCCCAAATTTTCTTTCAAATAATTTTTATTTTCCAAAGTACTTTTAATCTCATCTGAAACCATCTTTGCGTAGTTCCACCAACAGGGCGTCCTTTTTAATTTTCGGCGTCACACCTGCAGAATCACAGGTGAATACCCTATAGAATCAGTGTAACTGCCAGCTTACAGATGTAGATATGCCATGGCTGTGACGATGCCATAAGTTTTCCGCGTTTGGTAGCGATTAGGCAGGACGACAGATCGGCGAAACGAAAAGAAGATGAGCAACAGAAGAGGCAGTGTAGTCAGCGAGTTATATGTATATTAATGGTGGCATACTCATAAATATTGGAGATAGAGCAAGTTTTAAAAGTGGAAGTGCTCCTGGAAATCCCAATGTATGGTTATTTACAGTTTCACTGACATTCATTTCTCATTCTTTCTCTCTCTCTCTCTCTCTCTCTCTATATATATATATATATATATATATATATATATATAGGCAATGGCAGCATACTAGAACGCGTAAAATTCCTACTGGGCAATCAAGATCTCGGATATAAGTACTTACACAGTTATATTGTCCCACTCTCTTTCTCTCTCTCTTCACCAACATTACTTTCCGCCTCCTCTTCCTACCACCATCATTACAAGTATAATTATGGGTAGGTTTTGAAACGAAGCAATGAATTGTTGCATCACGAAACCATCTCGGCAGAAACTGTGGTTGCAAGAAGGTCTGTTTTTCTAATATTTTGCATATTATTTGCTCTACATTTTTGTTTCATGCGAATAATATTGCGCACTGTTATACTTTGGTCGTTCTTTTGACGAATATCATTTATGTCAAAATTCAATTCACACACACACACACACGCATATATCATATATCTATATATATATATATATATATATATATATATATATATATATATATATATATATATATATACTGATATATGTTTTATTGAATAATTTAGACAAATTTTGTCTACTTATATTCAATTGGATTCTTTCATATTCACGGACTATTTTTTTGGTATCATTATTAAGAGAAGAGAGAAAATTACCGTGTTGATACATATTATTTTATTCCAAGCACTTTCGACATCAGTACAATGTCATCATCAGAGTGTTGTTTATTTCAAGACAAAGATTGTAGTGATCATCAGTTTCAACGATAAAATTGCTGTGTTCATCTGAAAGTTAAATTTCTTTTACATAGTACATATAATATGAACAAGTATATTACGCCTAGAACACGATATTATTTACGTGTTTTATCCACGTTGGAGTAGTAGATAGCAGCTCGGATTGAGGTATCGGAGAGCCGCTATCCATTACTCCACTGTACTCCACTATCCGCTATTCGAGCCGGAGAGCCGAGTTCGAATTCAAGTTGAATTCATTACATTCACTTACGTGTTTATACCCTCAGGAAATGTATGAATTCTCTTCTTCTCTACCCAGCTATGGATCAATATCAGAACAGACCGGTTTCTATAGCCCTGGACGGCAACTAGTCTGCTGCAGAAAGAAATGGAAACCTAATGCAGGAAAAATCTACCTCGTCAGTCATGTATCGAAAGATATATGATCCCCTAAGCGTGTATCACGGATGGCACATAACAGAACTGGATGTTTTATCCACACTTATGTCTAAGATCGAAGTATCTATGCGTTTTGCGTCGAAACAGTATGTCACGACACAGTCAACGGGTGGGTCAAAGATTAATATGGGAAATTTAGCGTTTTGGGGGGGTTTATTTGCGGGGAAAAACCCATTGTTTTGAAAATTCTTGTAAAAATCAAATAATTGCCGGATTTTAATCAAATTTTACTTACTTATTCACAAATCAATGAAATTAATTTTGAAATTTATTTTTAGAAAATATTCATAAAAATTATTTCTTTTTTCACATCTGTTACCCTCACATGCTTAATTTTATGAAATTTCGAGAAATTAAAATTTAAACCTCTCCACACACACACACACATATATATATATATATATATATATATATATATATATATATATATATATATATATATATATATATTACTTAACAGTAGAACTCTTTGTAGAATTTAAATCATCATTTTCTTTTTGTCAAACAAAAACACCATTTTCTGAAAATCTGCTCTGAATCGTAAAATAAAAAAATCGATACAATCATGACATTATTTAATTAGAATAGCTTTTGATTGCTTGTATAAATAAGAGATATTATGGACATTATTGTCTTAAGATTTGTTTTTGGATGAATAATGAATTTGTACATGTAGTTTTCATTTTTTCTATTTTTATTAGAAAAATATTACCTTTAAAATCTTTCACTCTTTTAGATTATATCATTATTAAGTGGAAATTATATTATTGTATGCGTATAAATGTGCCCATATTTGTAATTATGGACGACCATAGACGATATTATCAGAAAAAAGAACAATAACTATACTAAATTTTAAGTCAACATTTCTAAAATTTACTAAAACATTTATTATGGAGAATATTTTGCTATATTTTTAAGATTAATGACTACTGAAAATTACATAAAAAAAAGACGCTCATGTCATTTTCTTAAATTGATTTATCGATAAAGTTTTATGACATTAGATCTGCCAACACGTAAAAACTACTGTTGTGTTAGAAAATGAATTTCTGCGGTATTTAAAACTTAAAGAATACAATATTTGTTTCAAATCAGATTAATTATACTTTAATTCAACTAATATTACTCAAATAAAATTTCAGAAAACTGTATTTTACTTTTGGAATACATTTTATTTTTTTATAAAAGAGAATTACAGTACGATGGAAGACGACTAAAAAGAGAGAGCTAATCAGCAATTTAAACAAAAAAAGAATCCTTCCAGTCAAATTAAATTAGCTCTTGAATATCTCTGCTCTTTCATGGCATTCTTCAACAGAATTGATGGTGAACTTCATATTCTGAAGATTAGGCGTGATTTCATTAAGCGCCGAGAAGAGACATTCAACAAGTAAGTGAAAAATTATTATTATTATTATTATTGATGTTGTTGTTGTTGTTGATGATGATGATGATGATGATGATGATGATGATGATGATGATGATGATGATATTGTTGTTATCAGTGATGGATGTGCTGGTAATAATTAGATTAATTGTTTTAATTTTTATTGGTGATGCTATATTCTTAGGTGCTTGTTATAGTCTATACAAATTTGATATGGACTTGTTCCCTAAAACCGTTACAGAAGACGTTACTACAGTAATTTCTAACTTTCAACTTTCCGAAGAATTACATGAGACAGACTAATTAATTCTACCTGACACAGAGACATCAAATTGGGTCGTGAAAATGAATGAGATGATTGAAAGTACTTGAACCTATAGTTTCTATTCGATTTCGAGCACAATAGTCAACACTTTATTCGAATATTAAAAAAATACAAGAAATGATTTAACATACAGTCTTTGTATTTTCTTTTAAATCAGACTTAGTTGCATACAGACACACACGCACACGTACATACACACGCACACTCATATATATTTATACATATATATATATATATATATATATATATGTGTGTGTGTGTGTGTGTGTATGTAAATAAAAAGAGACGCGTTTCGTCATCTGTGGGATTTTATCTTTGCCTTCATAAAGTCTCTCTGGGGACGAAACGCGCCGTCTATGAAGTGTTTTTCCTCTTGTCACTTTTTATCGATTTTGTCTTGTCTACAGATACACTCAATCTGAGAATATATATAATTTTATACAAGTAGACATTAAAGCTTTTTATCCATCAATTACCGAAATATATCAAATAAAGAATTAGATTTAGCTAAACAACACATAAACATTCAAGAGGAATTACATAGAATTATCCATTGTAAAAATCACTATTATTCTACAATAATAAAATATGCTTCAAAAGTATAATTACAATAACAATGACACCGACGTAACCATGGGTAGTTAGGATGGACCGTATATCTAGACGTGGTTAAATTGTCACACCAAATTACATTGCATCTAGATAAATGATTCTAATGTTAATATGTAGGTCACTCAGCTGGTACGATGTCATAGACAGCATCATGAATTTTCTGCTATTCTGTTATCGTCGCATAGCAATCTTCTATGTCAGCATAACAGAATATAATCTTTGATGGTGAATATTTTTGTTTAAATATGCGTATAACTACTCTGCAGAAGGCTGATGTAAGCCGAAAGCTTAGATCAAGGACCAGATTAATATAAAATTATTCAAATATTGGACATTATTTACATTATTCGGACTATTGTCCTCATCTTTGTTGCCGTATTTCTTACAACGTTTCGGCCGCTGTACGCTCCGGCCTTCTTCAGGTGGTGGGAATGTCGAACTAAACCCTTTATTTCGCTCACTGGGGTAGACAGTTCTATTAGGTTGACGTAATATATATATATATATATATATATATATATATATATATATATATATATATATATATATATATATATATAAGTGATAGAAATTCTTAGGGCGATTTGAGATAATCCTAATTAAGTAATTCCTCGAGTCTAGAAGAAAAGTCAACAGAAAGCACTGGAGGGTCGTTTTGTCTTATATTTGGGACTCATCAGAAGTGTGCACTCACTGTGTGTGTGTGTGATCGTCATATATATAAATATCGAATCATATAATATAACTATAATTTAATTTATGCAATACAAATTAATTAAATAACAATAATTTAAATTTGTAATATAATATATATATATACATAAAAAAAACATCTATGTTGAGTAACTCGCTAACAAATCCCACCCTAATAAAAAAAATACCCCATACTCGACTAAAGATTTTTTTTATCGTCTAAATTTTTATGTTGTCATTAAGAAGATAGACCAAAGTTTTTTTCATATATTTTGGAATTTTGTAATCCTTTCTATCACGTCCGAAATTTTACTTCAATATCTTATTTTTGAGTAAACAAAATGTACATAAAATTGATCATGATACCCATTTTTGGCAACTTTGTAAACTAAAGTAAAGTCTCTGTTTAAAAATCTTGTAAAATTCAATTATACTTTTTTCAAAACTTTGTTTAGGTAAATTAGAAATTTAAAGTATCCTTAATGGAATTTGAAACAGACATTACTTAATTTTTTAGCATAAGTAAATTTAGTCGGAAAGAAGAGAAGCATGTCTAACCATGCTGATTGGTATTGGAAGTGAGAATTGACGTTTACGTCAATGTGTCGACAAGTAAGGTCAGAACACTTTGTCGTACGGAAGGGCAGAAGTGACAGTATTTTCGAATTTTAAGTGAACCAGTTTATTTAACTATAAAATACTTCCTAAAAAAAAATACATTCAAATGTCCAATATTTTCATTTTTTAGGTATTTTTTTAACGAAGATATATCTAAAACCTTCACTGTTTTCGTATTTATAAAATCTAAAAATAATAATAATAATAATAATAATAATTGCAGGATATCTCCCAATGAAAAATAAAAACTATCATTATATTTAAAAAATTAAATGAAAATATTTAGTGAGGTATGTATGAAACATGAAAAATTTGAAAATGCGACTATGATGGTCGGTCATCCATAGAATTTGCTATGAAATGAACGCAATTTAGGAGGCTGGATGCTCGATATCAGGAGAATCAACTTTTAAAACA